GGATCTTAGGAAAATATGAAGGTCAAGTAAGTATACATGAGGCAGAGAGATAAAGAGATGATATTTTTATTCAATTTTTCTATTCCAATGGGTGCATTTGCACTAAAATTTTTTTTTTTGGAAAATCATTCTTTTTCAAAAAGACATTCCAAGAATTACTGAATATACGTAAATATACATGTGAATGGAAGCATACGGCTTCAAAATAAAAATTGCTCTTAATGAAAACAGAAAAACTTGGAGAAACGAACTAAATCAATGTTTTCCTGGACTTTGAGATTCCATACACTTAATAAAATTTGCCATTAAAAAAGCAGAAATACACAGGCTCACGACAAGGGACAGCTTTCTTTTTAAAATCAAAGACAAATAACTTCATGAAATACTCCCTACATGGCCCTTTTTACTTTAAAAAAAAAAAAAAATTGTGACACCCTGGCCAAACAGCAATCTCTGAGCTGAATATTTAAAATACTAACTGCTTGGCAGACCAAAACACTGTCAGCTACAAATCAAGTAAATTGTGCCTCCTTTTATAAGGATGCATGTAAAGGTCATCTGATGAATTCCACACTCGGTGTTGCTACAATTGCATATATTAAGATTACCTCCAGAGCACCATTTTCACTATTGCACAAATTAGTCAAAATAAAGCTTAAAATATCTGCAGCTACCCTTAAAAAGAATAGAAATCAAAAAAATGGAGATTAATGTCATTAATCCTGAAACGAGCAGTTGGATAACATCAGAATAGTAAATTTTATTAATTTTATACACTTTTTTTTCCCCATAAATGAAACTTGACTGACGTTTACTGTATGTCAAAACCCTGTAAAGGAACAACAAAAGATCAGTGTGCCAAGAGCCAGCTCTGACAGTGGACTTTAATTGGTATGTTGTGTGTTTCAGCGAAGATACTGTTTCAGTATACCATGATGTTTCATTTAATGAATAAAGAATGCTTTTTGAAAACAAACTTTGTGTACAAATGCAGTACTCTTTGCTCTGCTGGCACCTAATAATTTACCAAACTTAGGCGGCTAAAGAATGTCTAGGTCTTGTCAGCACCAGATAGTTGATAATCAAGTCTTTACTGTCCACTAGACCTGGGTCTCGATCACACTGAGAAAGAAAATTTTCCAGGAACGGTTAATAACATTTCTGCCCATGTGGTCTCTGCCTCAATGGCCAGGAACAGACTGAATATGGTCATATCGTGGGGTTGAGGCCACATAGGGCCACCCTGGGATGACTGGTATACCCCATCTCTTGGGAACCTGGGTCCATTCCTAATATGCAGAGGCAGCATCAGGTACCCCACAAGACTTTCAAAGTCGGGGTGGCAAAACTGGAAACTTTGGTCATGTTCATTCTGACTCCTTAATTTCTTCCTTGCAGTATGCACAGTCACCCAACGATGTCATCATGCCCTGGAATCCTTCATTCTTCATAGAGTTGTACGTACCTTAGTTCAGCAAATATGTAGTAAGTTCCAAATATTTCTGACTTGCCCGTTCAGCACAGCCTGTGCAATGCCTTCCCTTCGTTCTAAGTCATTTGTGAGGAGGGACCAATCTAGGTTAATCCAAAACTAACACAGGTGCCCAACATTGTTCCCTTCCTGGCTGAGCCGGTTACTCCCACACGTACTACATTTTCCACCGAATGTACTTTTTCAACCTACATGTTTTCTTTAAGGTTCATTTTTCTTAAAGATGGTAAAACTAAATGTCAATTTACATATTTTGTTGCCCACATTTCTAATACTCTCTAATTGCTTGAACACCTAATAAAGTTAGTAAAGAGAAACAATACAGCTCAGAGTTTACTTCTCCTCTATCTTACCCAACAACTCTAAATATAAATAAACTGAGAAAAAATTTCCTTTAGTTTCATTTATCTCTAAACGGAAATTTATAGTTAACAAATGCTAATCTAGGAGGCTGGTTTGATTATTCTAATCACCAAAAAGCCCAGTGAATTTTTAAATTAAGAGAAGGGGAAGGAAGACAGTGAATATATAACACATTACTTCCACCAAGCACTTTCTTCTGCAAGAAATGGGTGGCATTTAATATTAGTAACTATACAAATGTCCTCCATGGTTCATTGAATCTGTCATCTCCCCACGACCACCACCCTGCCCCCAAACTATTTTATACAGGCTAGAACACATTGGTAACAATCTGGATATTCCCCTGCTATTTTTCTTACCTGAAACAGTTGCTTAGTGGTTAATGTGTTTACATATTTCTTGCATGCTGTGCTTTCAAGCATTTAGAGTTCAAATTTATTTCACTATAGAAACAAGAACCCAAAGTGCCAAAAAGTGATCACAAACACGAATTGAACCCAACAGGTGTAATATTTGCCTAATACTGTTTCACCCTTTCTTCACCAGCTATTACCCATGGGCAACATCCTAGGTGTGGTACAGACTACTCAGGACATACTCGGAGAGGAATTTTTTCCCTTTTTATTTAACCATATGTAATGTAACCCATCAGAATGGAACCTGGTTCACCCGCCCCCAGAGTCGGTGCCATTTAGGAATTAATTCCATTACACTGGCCTTCATAAATTCCACTGGAAATTTCTTGTTAGAGCTTTCTACAGTATATAATTGTTATTTATTACTCTGGGTAATTACCATCCACTTTGCCCAAAAACCTGACATTTAACTGATACAAGCATGAATAATCTTTGTAGTGGCTAGAGTGAGGTTCTTTTATGTGTTTTATATTTAAGATTTGATTTCCAATATCCCATTGGAAAATACCCAAACTACTACCAAGAGGCCCAAGAGACAAATGCTTCTTTCCTTACATTCAAGAATTGATGTGTGTGCCTGGCCATTCCAGAACAGCTCCTGCTTACACCAATCCTCCAACCCCTTCTGCAGCTGCAGCACAGATGGAACCTCAGCACACTGATGGTCAGTATTCAAGTTTTGGAGAAATCAAGGGATGGACAGGACATCACACCTGTTGCATTCCTACTAATTGTAATATAAAATTGTCACTAGGCATATACACAAACTGCTAAACAGTTCAGAAGTCAGAGACCTTGCCTTAGAGATCATAAAGTCTACGCCCTCTTGTAGGCAAAACAAGAGAGGTCTGAAAAGGTTGAAAGTGACTTATGAGCCATCAGTCATTAATGGCAAATCCAGGACAGAAAAAAATCTGGTCACCACAGAGGCCAGTTCCATGCCTGCTTTCACGTGGCTGCTGTCTCCTTGCCTGCCTCATGACTCTCAGGTCCCCTTTCCTGGCTCTACCATGAATATGATAGAAGAATGAAAGGGGGAAGGGAGATGGAATAAAGTGATCATTAGTGGTTTTACAACTTCCATACATGTTTCTATGAGATCTTATCATCTTTTCTTCTCAGCCTTCATGATCAAATCTGTCTATTGTCTTTTAATGTTCTTTATTCAAAATCTTTGTTCTTTTTAAGTAGATTAATTACACCCACACTTTTATAGGGTGCATATCCATGGACACAGTAAGTTTTCGGTTTAGCCTTGAGATAATTTACTGACACTGATCCAGCTATTTTTTTTAAACAGATAATGCTCACAAAAATTTGAGGATCATGCTTTATTTTTGTATCCAAATGCATTAGGGAAAATGCATGATATGATGCTCTGTTCTCTAATGAGGTAGTTACCGAGGGGGTCAGGAGGAGGCAAAAAAAACCCAAGAGTCTTTATTACTTCTTTTTCTTTGTTCAGTGTTACAGCACCTCTTTTTGCTTGCAAGCAAGGAAAACACTGGGGAGCAAGAACTCCTAAACCAGTGTCTCCCAGAACAAGGGAAAAGACCCCCTTATATAGCCTGAATTCCTGCCCTTTTCCCTCCCACGTTCCCATTCAGGTCCTCTTATGTAAATGAGGGATGCTGTCCTGCTAATTTGGATTGGTTGATTGTGCGACACAGTCTGTTGGTCACTTTAGGAGCCTAACTTGCCTCTGGCCCCTGGGGAGTGTGAGACTGCTGTTATCTTCTAGAGGGTGGGCCCAGGAAGCAAGCAGGGTAAATGGCAGGGCCAGAGTCTACAGTGGAGCACAGACTTTCTTTTTTTTTTTTTTTCTTTTAAATTGTTTAACTTTATTACTGTTGCACCATTTATACAATTACATATAATTTCAATGCATCCATTGTACATTTTTTTTGTTGTTTTTTTTATTTTATTTTTTCCATTTCCAATGAGTGGTGTGTTGGTGTCTGTGACACAGAATGGAAGAGAAACTGGAACTGCAATGAACGCAGACTTTTTTTTTTTTCATTTCCACTGACCAATAAACAGAACTACAGGTGCACCCAACCACGGACATGCATTAACTCGTCATGAGAAATCTAGGTAGGCTAAGTAGGATGAGAGAATGTTTGTAACTCCCAAAAATATCTGGAGAGGAAGAATGGAGGATCGGCATCGAGATACATGTGGACCAGCTAAGTGGGCTGTCTGAAAGTTGGCATTCATCCACGACATTAAAAAAATATCAAAATAAGAAAGGCTGTAAATGAAAAAGAAAACACAGAAAATACTGCTTTCATAAAGATCTGATTGCCTTGGCACAGGCCCTGTGGGCAGAAATCAAACGCATCACTCCCAAGCCCCACTGCAGAAGAAAAGATCCTGGGATCTTGGCAGTGGGGGGCATGTAACAGCAGTTCAGGTACTTTCAGACATTGACCTTGAAAATCCAGGACTTATTGGTAAAGTTGACTGAAGGTATATTAGATATTTCCCCACAAAAATACTATTTGGATTCTCCCCAACCCCTCCCTCCCTTGATGGGACAGCATCCTTTTTTTTATTCCTTGGGCAATACATGTCATTACTTCCAATTTGAAACAAGTTAGTATAGGACAGAGAGAGAGAGAGAGAGAGGGAGAGGGAGAGGGAGAGAGAAGGGGAGAGAAAAAGAGAGAAAGGAGAGAGAGAGAGAGAGAGAGAGAGAGAGAGAGAGAGAGAGAGGGAGAGGGAGAGGGAGAGGGAGAGAGAAGGGGAGAGAAAAAGAGAGAAAGAGAAGGGGGGAGAGAAGAGAGAGAGAGAGAGAGAGGTGGCTTAAGCGTGTCGTGTCTCCCCTGGCTGTCCTTGTCACTCTTTCACGGCCACGGTTTGATCGGAACTCGCCGCGGGGGCCTCGGGGGCCTTGAGCTCTTCTGCGGGGGCTGCGGGGGCCTGGGCCTTGGGGGTACAACTGGGCGCTTCCGTGGCTGCGGGGGGCTCCTTGCAAGAGGGGGCAGCCTCAGTGCTGCTCGGTTTTGAGTCTGAAGCTGGGGCCCCGTCGCTTTTCGTCTCCGGGGCGGCAGGAGCTGCGGGAGCCTCAGTCTTTTTGGGGTCCCCTTCCTCCTGGCTCTGGTCGCCCCCCGGAGCGGGGGTCGTGCTCTCGGCC